TGGGCCTGTGGAGTGCTTTGGGGAAGAGAAAAGCAATCAGGGTCCCTGCAGACCACATTATGACATAGTACAGGAGAGTTTATATAATCTTGAGGTAAGGCGGTGAAGGTGGATTCTTGGACTTGCTAGCTGAAGAAAACTGGCTTCTCATGATCCTGTGGAACCAGAATTGAGAAAAAAGCATTGGCCAGATCTATAGCTGCACACAAGGTACCAGGAGATGTATTAATTTGCTCAAGCTAATTTCCCAAAGTCTTTGGATTCCTTCCTCTACAGTATGACTTGGCAGGTCTGATACTTCAACGTGGTGTACTACAGAACACCAAGTAGTCCATGTTTCAGTGGACCAATCAAATGAACTGTTAGATCCTCTCCTAACCTCTCGAACTGAAACACTGAATGAAGACTCTGCTGAGTGGGACCATGTCAGTAAATTCACACTGATCTATCCTATGTTCTTTGCGCCATTATCCCACACTTGTAATTGCCATTCCCACACATATTCTCCAAGGTTTTTGTTGGCACACAATTAGAAAAATCCAGCAGTTCTTTTGGAGTGGAGTATACTTCCCGGGTTACAATTTGCACCATTTTGGGCTTGTTGGGACTGTCTTATTATAGGTCTAGAACCCATAATTTGTGGAGGTGTTTCCTGGGAACATTCAGCAATATCTTGAAAGACATCTGCTTCAGGCAATGTCCCAGGCACCATCTCAGCAGTCACTGTTGAGTTCATCTCATCCAGTATGGACAGAGAGTGCAATAGTTCTAATGATAATACATCAACCAGCAAAGATGGAATCATCTCTTAAGATGGGAGGAGTGGTGCTGTCAGCAAGGACAATTCAATAGAACTTAGAGGCATAATGTCCCAGGTTCCTGATACGTCCCAATCCCAAACTTCAGGATCCTATTTCTTTCCAAGAAATGTCCTCACTTTAACATCAGACACCATTCAAGGTTGGGAATTCAGTTGGTATTAGACTTCAGTCTTTCTTATGATAAGACTCTGGATTTGATTTTCAGCAATAGCAGCTCTGAAACTACAAGAAACAATGCTTTCCTTAAGGGCATAAGTGGAAACTTTGAGGTCATTCATGCATTGCTTGAACTGTAAATCCAAAGACTTGGGCTGGTCTTGTTCCTTTACCACTTAATGTATTGTAAGCCAAACCAACCGGCCAGCTTTCTTCTACTTCTCACCCTGACAAAATTGCAGAAACGTATTAAACCATGAATTTTCCAGAAAAAGAAACAAATCTGTGTTAGAAAGAGTACAGCCAAAATGTTCCTTAGGAGACATGCTAGCAAGACTTCATCTCTCATACTTTGGCTGTATTATCAGGAGAGTTCAGTCCCTGGAAAAGGACATCATGTTTGGTAAATTGGAGGGTCAGCAAAAGAAGATGAAATCCCCCAACAAGATGGGTTGGCACAGCAGTAACAACAATGCATAACAACAATTGTGAGGATGGTCCCGGATGGTCCAGGAGTGGGCAGTATGTTGTTCTATTGTAATGGCATTGTTAGGAGTCATAGCACCTAACAATAACACAGCATAAAATGTGTCCAAGTCTTTACTCAGGATTTCTAGCTGAAATGTCATAGTTAGGACTGTTTTTACTTCTTTTGAACGTAGCTGGGATTTTCCCTCACAGAACCCACCCCTAGAATGTCAGTAATTGAGGAACATGGGGGGTGCGGGTGTGAGATGGGATGGCATGGGTGGAAACTGCTTAGAGTTTCCAAAGATATGGGAGCACATTGGCTTTACAGCATCGTTACATTGCAATGATTTCCATCTCCTCCGTGCATCCTCATTCAACAATATTTGCTTCCATTCCCTGGTTTGTTTTGTTTTTCAGGGAATGTACACAGAAACCCTGGGGAATAGATAATAATTTAAACAACCTGCAAGCCTACCTCCTGGCTGCCAGCACCCAGCTCCTCTCTTTCCATGAGTCCAGAGTCCTCAGCTGCTCCCTCTCTCCATGTCCTCCTCTCTGCCGCCATCTGTGGTATCACTGCTTCTCTGGATAAGGTTCTGCACTCTGTAGTCTTCTCTCTTGATGGTCGTAGGATCCTCTGTTTCTGGACTGGTAGATTAACTACTCCCCCAATTTTCTTACAGTTTACCTTTGTGACAGTCGCAGTTAGTCATGATAATAATTTCTCAATATTGAATCATAAGAATCTTATCCCCATCTGTTTTCACCAGACCCATCTAGACAAGATGCAAACTGTTCAGTGGGGACTCTACCTTCCCCCGCACAGTCAAACTAGACTCCCTCTTGAAAACTTGTAAGTCGGTCACTTGGTGTCTTTATCGCCCCCTCATTTTAGGTAGCCAATGGCTAAGTTGTCCATTCCTATCTACCCTGTGTACAGAAGGGATAGGGTTAATACTTGCTGGGAAGACTCCTGCCCTCTCAGTTGGTATTTTGAGCTTCTACATCCATAAGTATAGGTCAAGTTTCATCAAATTGTACCAATTTACACTTGTTCCCTTTATCAAAAAATATATTTTAAAAAATCTTCCTCTAGATGAGTTCTGATTAGCAAGTCATCGAGGCTAGGTCAAATGGGTACTGTCTGCAAGTTTGGGTGTTCTTGTGCATCTCCCCTCACTTCATATCAGCTGGATGCTTCACTCTCTCAGCTCTAGCCCTCTGTGGCTATGTCCTTGTCCATGGGCTCCAGAGTCCCCAGGTCTCACCACACTTTGGACCAGCCAGCCCTTCCTCTTCTCACTCTCATCTCCATGGGAAGGGGAGTCTATGGAGCATGGTTGAACTCAGCCGCCATTTCTTCATTGCTGCCTTTCCCCCTCTTCCACTCACCAGTGGACCAATGTAGTTACCAGCAAGCTTACATGCCTGCTCATGTGTTCCCTTTGAGTTTCAGTATTGGAGGGGGGTAATCTGTTTAACTTTGACCAATGTATTGTGACTCCTACATGGGGACCCCAGTGCTCCTGTAGGAATATGGCTTGTTGGTAACTTCTGTCTCCAAGGACTATAGCGATCCATCTGGATGCAAGGTGTACTTTCTCATGTGTGTGTGTGGTGGGGGGTAGAGGGCTCACAGTAGGACCCAAAATTTTTTACTCTGGCTTCAACTTCTTCCAAGGGTTCTTATCTCTTTTAACGTCCTCCCTGGCAAACAGTAAGTTCTCAGGTTCCTCTCAAGGGACTCACAAAGGGGACTTCAGGTCAATCTACAGTCTCTGTTTTTATCCCTCTCTTCCTACAGATCACTCCCTAACTCTCTCGGTTTTGCCTAAATCAGTTGCTCCCAGTTACAAGATGTGTGTAGGTGCTGCTGGAGTGGAATCACCCGAAAGATCTCTTGTTTTCATTTCTGCAGCAAGGACTTCACTGCCTGGCTCCAGTGTGGTGGTCGAGATGCTCTTTTTGACTAACTCTGGTCCCAGGCACCAACATGGTGTTGCTTCAGGAGCAAGAAGGGAAACAGGGGAGGGAAGAGAAGGGAAAGCAGAATGGATGAGCAGGCAGCTTCCATGCAGGCCACATCTGCAGAAGTTTGCCCGCTCCAACTGCCTCCTCCTTTTGCTCACTCTCTGTGCCCCTTTCCCTTCTAACTTCCCTGTGGCCTAAGCAAGATGGAGGTGTTGGAGAAGCTCTAGGTCCAGCTCGGGATCCAGATTACTGAAGAGGAGGCAGATAGTAGCGATGGCAGCTGATGGACAGGAGGCTGGACTTTCTTACTCATGAACTGCCCTTTAGCTTGCCTCTTGCTTTCCACAAACACCTCAATTTTTGCAAACCTAGCTTCTCACCCTGCTTCAAAAAATCAGTTGTGGCCCCACATGTGACCGTCACTCATTCCTTTCGAGCTGTAACTTTTCCTGCAGTGCTCTTCGTGCTCATGTTGTCATGGCTAAGTGGGCTTTGGGGGCCTGCAGAACCACCACAGCAGTGGTCATTCCATGACTACTACTCCTATCCTAACCACTTTTCCACACTTGGAAAGGCTCACATTTTCCTACATCTATGGGTTACGAATCGGGCTGCGAACCTTAAGGTCAGTGGTTCGAAACTACCAGCCGCTCCGCGGGAGAAAGATGAGGCTTTCTACTCCCGTAAAGATTTACACCCTCGGAAACCCTGTACAGGGTCGCTATGGGTCGGAACCGACTCGACGGCACTTAACAACAACAATGGTGTACACTTGGAAATTTTCTCCCTATACTCATACTGCAATCCACATGAACCTGGGAGTTCCTCTCTGTAGATGCATACAGACCACATCTCCCTACATGGAGGTTGCTGACCCCTGATGGATAGGTCAAACCTCCCCACATAAAGGTTACTGACCACTGGGATTGCCCCTGGTGGATGCTTCGCCCTTATCAGCCATGTCTTCTGTCCCCATCTTGATCAGCAGTTGTTTATGCACAGACCAGGAACTTGAAATTTTCCAGAAGGTGCCAAGAGACAGGGCAAAGAACCTGGCCACATCATGAAGGTAATTTGGAGTTTTATTAAGGGGCTACTTACTGAAACAAAGCTCTGGGCAGTGGTCGGGCCAGACTCCAGTCTCTCTACCCCGTGAAGGCAAGCAGGAGCTTTTATAGTTCTGATAGACAAAGGTGACTCGGCGCCAAGGATTAAAACCTCCAAGACGCTTAGCAAATGTTACACAGCAGTGACGTAGCAAGTGGGGGTCCGCTAGCACCAGGTGACAGCACGGCCATTTTCAGATTTACAAAAGCCAGTTTCAATACTTGAGTAAGCAAGGGACTATCTAATATAGAAGTGCTTAACTTGACAAAACATGCTGCTCTGACATCCAAAAACATCCCTCACATCTCACACATCCAATACAACCACTCAACCTCCTACCTAACATCACCTGTAAATGTTATAACTTCTCCTTCTTCATGGTTACCAGGGTGACACATTCTAAACCTGTCACATCAGAGTGGGATGGGGAAAACAAAGGCAAAGCTCTTTGCTCTGTGTGATGCTCATGACTCATCAAGTTGCCAGTTTTGACGTTAACCCAGAGAATTGTCCTAAGAGCTTCTGCCAGGCGCCCTTCACCTCCTTGTTCCTCAGACTGTAGATCATGGGGTTGAGCATGGGTGTTAGAATGGCATAGAAGAGTGAGATCAGCTTCTCCTGGAGGACCGAGGGGCTGGAGCGAGGCTGGATGTAAGTGAAAATGGCCATGCCGTAGCACAGCGCTACCACTGTGAGATGAGAGGCACACGTGTGGAAGGCTTTCTGCCTTCCCTCTGTGGACTGGATCTTCAGGATGGTGGAGATGATCCGGATGTAGGACAAGAGAACTAGGAAGAACGGCGTCATCAGGAGGACAATACTGGAAACCATGATGGCAACCTCATTGGAGGATGTGTCCACACAGGCCAGCCTGACCACAGCTAGTGTTTCACAGGAAATATGATCAATCTGCCTGTTTGTGCACATGGGAAGCTGAAAGGTGATGGTGGTCTGCACTATAGAGTTGATGGAGCCACTGACCCAGGCTGACACAGCCAGCTTAGTGCACAGTCCGCCATGCATAATGGCTGAGTACCTCAGGGGGTCACACACAGCCACGTACCGGTCATAGGCCATTACTGCCAGTAGAAGAAACTCACTCCCTCCCAAGGCCAGGGAGAAAAACAGCTGGGCTGCACAACTCAGGAATGGGATGGCTTTATGTTCCACAAGAAAATGGACCAACAGTTGAGGCACGATGCTCGTGGCATAAGACACATCTACAAGGGAGAGGTTGGTGAGGAAGAAATACATGGGTGTGTGGAGTCGGCTGTCCAGTCTGATGAGAAGGACAATGAGAACATTCCCCAGCACTGTCAGCAGGTACATGACCAAGAACAGGACAAAGAGTGACACCTGTGTGTCCCAGTCACTGGACAGGCCGAGCAGAATAAATTCACTCACCCATGTTTCGTTGCTTGTCCCCATTTAAAAAAATGGGGGTTCGTTATCTGAAGAGCGTGTGAGAAACAGCAGAGACTGTTGAACTGGAGAATCATGAAAAGCACGTAGTCCACCTAGCCTTAGCCCAGTGGTTCGTATCTTCATGACGCCCAGATGATGGACTTGATCCCAAAGTGCACCAGAGAGATAGTCCAGTAGTTTCATAAGGGCCTGATGTGGTCTCAGGAAGGCCCAGTTGAAATCTATAATAGACAAGAAGAATGGTCAGGCAGATATAAATGAAAACAATGAAGAAAAGTATGGTTAAAAAGTTAAAAGACCTTCCTTAATGTGTCATCTACCCCAAACATAATGAAATGTGTGAATTCATTAACCTAACACCAAACTCACGGCCGTAGAATGGATTCCAACTCAGAGAAATCCTATAGGACGTACTGGAACTGCTCCTTAGTGTCCCCGAGAATGTAGATCTTTATGGGAGCAGACAGACTTCTCTTTCTCTTAAGGAGGTTCTGGTGTGGTTGAACTGATGACCTGGCAATTAGCAGCCCCAAGTTTAACCCATTATGCCACCAAGACTATATTACAAAGGATAAAGGATTGGGAAGAGGTACCTATAAAGTAAAAATGATGTAAGTGTCTTGTGGAAAAATCTGGAGTCTGCAACCCTCAATTTGACTCCTATTGTCTTATGACTTGCTATCTCTTGGAGACTTAAACTCTCACATAAAAAAAATGGGTTGGATGACACGTTCACACAATGGAACATTATAGAACATTGAAGAATAAAGAGGGAGCTGAAAAAAAATTAGTCAATCACAAAGGGACAAATACTGCATGCGTTATAAAAAGTTAAGAAAAGATTTTCTTGGTAAATGAAATATTCTATGATGGTTCCTGGGAAAGTGGAGGGTGAAAGGTAGGGGAAAAAATGAAGCAACTAGAGGTGAATACTGTTTTGAAAAACTGGATTCTCTTACATAGCTCACAAGAGCCTTTGTGGGGAAATTAATCAGTGAATTGTTACTGGGAGAAATTCCTTGAGTCATTTGTCTTAGTAGAAATTCTATTACTAATAGTAACACTATTAGTTGTGACATGACCTCTGTCCTAGGGTAGGTAGACTAGCAAATGGACCTTCTCTCACACCTCCTCCAGAAGTTCAGGAATTAAAATTTTAAGAAAAAAAGAAAAAAAATTGTGCTAACCTTTTCTTAAGACACTCTGGTGGGACAACTTTAAGCACTTGGCTGCCCACCAAAAAGGTGGTGCAGTTTAAACTCACTCAGAAGCCCCATAGGAGAAAAACCTGTTCATCTATTCCTGTAAATAAGACAATCTGGAAACCCCCCTGAGGCAGGTCTACTTTGTCACATGGGGTCACTATGGGTCAGAATCTAATCAATAGCACCTAATAACAACAATGACAGCAACGTTTCATTGTTTTGAAGTCTTGAAGAAGGCTTGTGTTCTTTGAGCCACTTTGAGGAGATATGGTTTTGTTTTGTTTTTAAGGAGTAGGTCTTTTCAGTCTCTGGTTGGAAGAAATATGAAACAGTTATTCAGTTTTAGTTTTTCTCTCTTTTCAGCTACCTGATGTTAAGATTCACGGCCTGGGCATGGGTTCAGAAGGAAGAGAAGTGGAAATGGCTGCTTATTCTTTCTAGGATGAAAGAGGGACTAGAAAGCAAGTGTTAAATGTTCCTTTCTCCTAATCCAGGGCAAGAAGACATGAATTTGTATAGATGGACATTCAGCTACTGTTTCCCCGGTTAGTATATCTCTCTCTCAAAAGTACTTTATTGACCAGAGATAAAATGTAAATTTTGAATATTAAGCAGAAAGACTTAGATTTTTTTTAACCGAATTGTGTAGTGCTGTTCCATTATAATGCCATGTCTGCCGAGGACTAACTTTACATTTATGGCAATGAACAAAAAGAGAAAGTAGGGAATAAAAGGGCAGGCAAGGGTCCGGGAAAAAACATACGCTCTTAGCACTGAGGTCAGGTAGGGGTATCTGAGCTGCAGAATGAAGACCACCTACTCTTGAATTCTCACTGCTGATGAAGGACCAAGCAAAACTACTATTTCCAGAAATGTCATCACATATATGGTTGGAATAGTTACAACTATTTCTTATACATCTCTTTCCTGATGTTCACCTCAATACCTGGTCCATTTTCCAGGTTTTCCTATTCTACCCTATCATGATAGCTCCACCAGCCTTCGCCCTCGCACTTTTAACTGAAACCATCCTGAAAAGGCTTCTGTCTCAAAGCAGAGTTCACATTCAAATTCTGAGGCATCAGAAAACACTTCATGAAAGAATCTGTTCATTTGAATAGACCACAAATCTGCATCAGAAAGTAGATATCTGTTTCCATTAATTTGACGAACATTTAAGAGGAGTCCTTCTTGCTAGATATTGTGATTTTGACTGTGAATATTGCCTAGTGGGACAAGAAAGGACTATCATTAAGCCAAGTTAGTTAAACATAACTTTAATGACAAATACTCAGGTGGTGATTTTTGATAATGTTTGTTGGAAACATTTGGTGTTCTAGAACCATGAATGTCCCAATTAAGCTGTTATAATCTACTTAAGCTCACTCCAGAAGATCTTCCAGATGGGAGTCCATCCATGTCCAGGCCCCCACAGTTCGGCAGGGTACCTGAAAGGCAGGGAGCAGCCTAAGTAACATTATGACTTCTAAACATGAAGTGCATTTGTAACACTTTACCACTTCCTCACCATATTCCCGATCTACTACCAATGAGAAGACTTTGAAGAATTCATCAAGAGTGCTCACCAGGAAGGAGGTGGGAAGCCTGACACACAAAATCAACCAAAGCTCCTCCCTCTGACAGAGTCCTTCAGTCCAGGTCAGTACCATCAGTCCTCTTATCTTCTCATGTTTCTATCAACACAACTTTCAACATTTTCTGTTTCTTCAGACATGCAGATAATACAACTTTGCTTGCTGAAACCAAAGAGGACTTAAAGTGCTGATGAAGATCAAAGACCACAGCCTTCTGTATGGGCTCCAACTCAATGTAAAAGAAACAAAAATTCTCACCAGTAAATAACATCATGATAAATGGAGAAAAGGTTGTGAAGTTCTCAAAGAGTTTGTTTGTTTTGTTGTTGTTTTTTTGACTTGGATCTACAATCAATGTTCATGGAAGCAGCACTCAAGAAATCAGACAACACATTGCATTAGGTAAATCTGCTCCAAAAGTCCTCTTCAAAGTGTTAAAGAGCGAAGATATCAATTGGAGCACTAAGGTGTGCCTGACCCAAGTCATGGTATTTTCTATCGTCTCAAGTTGTACAACGAACCAGAAAGACATTGAAGAATTGATGAATTTGAGTTATGGTGTTGGAGAATAATATCAAATGTCAAGAAAACAAACAAACCTGTCTTGGAAGAAGTGCAGCCAGAATGCTCCTTAGGATCCAGGGTGGCGAATCTTCATCTCTCATACTTTGGACATGTTTTCAGGAGGGACAGTCCCTGGATAAGGACATCATGCTTGGTAAAATGGAGAGTCCACAAAACAGAGGAAGACCAACGAGATGGAGTGACCCAGTGGCAGCAACAATGGGCTTAAATATAACAACTGTGAGGACAGCACAGGATTGACCTAGCGGTGTTTTGTGTGGTTGTACATAAGCTTGCTATGAGTGGAAACCAACTCCACACACCTAACAAGAACAACACACTTTCTTCAAAAGTGCCATTTGGTTTCATTGCTACTCTATGGGCTAACACTCCTAAGTACTTAGTTACTTGTGAAAAGAAGGAAGTATTCAGGACTTCATACCTGGGTCCTATTTCTATTTGCCACATTCCATTATCCCAGTGAGCCTATTCTACATTTAAGAACAGCCCAATTTTCATTTCTATTCTCTCTCAACAAGAATAAATTATCTTCTACCATTTCCCCAATGTTGGGAAAAGATAAAGTAGTGAATTTGGAAGTATGCACTCATTTTCAGATTCCTCTGTGTCTCATGTTTCAAACTACATAATATTTCAAAATATTTTCCAAAATTTAACAGTGATACCAGTTCAGTGAGAGTGTGGTTGAACAAAGGAAGGAAGCTTGAGGCTAAGGACACTGCCCAGTGGTCTGCTATCCATTCATGAGATGGTGGCCTGCAGCCTTCATCTCACCTGAATCTCTGTATCATCATTAGCAGCACTCCATCCAGCCTTAAGCACAGTTGGCTTCTTTACTAGGGCTCTCGATTCCAAGGGTTAGTACTGGCAGACAGAAAGAGAAGGAATGAGAGAAGGAGAGCTCTCAGCAATCTCAGCTGAGACAAGAGGAAGTCTAGAATCTGAAGACAGAATACAGACGGAAGTCCCACAAGTTATTGATCTGTTCCTTTCACAAATCTTTATTTCTGCTTCAATGGTAATGAAAATCCTTCCAACAAAATTACTCAGATCCATACCTTTACGCAGTCGGGCTGTCCTAGATGTGACCTTTTGGTTTCAGGGAGGATCCCTCTTACTCAAGGTGGTAGAGTTGGCCATCGTAGATATTGAGAGTAACCATCCTGAGCAGGGATATTTGCATCATCCAAATGCTTGGAGACAGAGCTCCGGGGTCACCTGGGTGAGTGATGTCTCAAAGAAGGGTCTGACACATGGTGCAGTGGCTAAAGCACTCGGCTGCTAACTGAAAGCTTCACAGTTCAAACCCACCAACTGCTCCTCAGGAGAAAAGATGTGCCAATCTGCTTCCATAGAAAGGGTAGTCTGGGAAACCCTATGGACCAATTCTACTTAGTCCTATAGGGTCACTCTGAGTCAGAATCAACCAGGTGGCAATGGATTTAATGGGATTAAGGACAATGATTTTTTTCGCCTCTTTGTGGTCTTCTCTTCTGATTTTATTTGTTCAACTTTTTACACATTTGAGTCCAATGATTTAGCCCCAGTTTCTCCAATCTGTGAAGCTCTAAAATTCACTTTTCAGGACATATTTTATCATGGCTTCATTCTGCAACCA